CTTTTTCTTCTCCTCTCTCTCTCTCTCTCTCTATCTCTATCTCTATCTCTGTACCGCCTCGTCTTGACTATACCCTTCAGCTCATTTCCGCCCACGTGTACTTAATAACGGTCACAGGGAAGAGTCAGTGCGAAGAGAAAGTAATCGTGGTTTCAGTTTCAGAATTTATTTATTAAAATTGTTATGTTTTGATCAGCGAAATTATTCTTAATTATTATTTTACATTGTTCTTAATTATTATTATTGTAATCACATTTCTAGTTTTTATTTTGAGAAGTGTAAATATTACATTCTCTATCTCGTAGTTACAAAGTGACAGATTGCAGTGGTTAAGTCAGTTTGCAAATCGATCTCGTACAGTGTTAAATAAGTCAAGCGAGGTGAGCTGTGAATCACGACTATGGATGTAAAACTTCCAGAATATATGCGGGGATGAACGACGATGACAACGACGACGCGGTTGATCGAGAACGTGAGATGGCTATCACGTGCTCAATTTTCCAAAGGTTTCATAACATCCGTCTCTCAAGGAAGGTGCGTGGTGCCGCACTCCCTTCTGTCCTATTTCAGATCCTCGAAGGCTAATTTCCCTGACAGAGACATTTTCGTTGGTCCAGTCCGGCTTTCTCTGCATCCTCGACCACCGCTGTCTTTTCCGTTTCACCCTCTCGATAGATCGTAAGACCCACGGGGAAGTGAGGATAGGAAAGGAGAACTAAATCAATGTAGGACATTTATATTGGCTGGAAATCGCTGACTCTCCACGGACGACTGTGGACATATTAAGATTTCTGATCCGTCGTGTCGACCGCGGCGACATTTTTATCATTGCGTGTCCTTTCCTTTCCTGCACGTCCTGCGGCGAGGAGGAAATAAAACGTGAATTATTGTCCACGCGGTGTCCCTCTTTTGCCGCTCCGCGCACGTGGTTCAGCCCCCAGTCTCTATGGACTCGGGTTAAAGTAGCCGTTATGGTTTTCGGTGAATAATTTAATGGCCCGTTTAGTGATGTCGGCTCGTGAATATCGAACTACATCTCGATACGCTTAGCAAACATTTTTGCCCGCTCGGCTTGAATTTCGTATCCATTGCTAACCGAGAAAATTCGAATAAATTTATAGCGATTAAACACTAATCTGTATAAATAGAGTGACTGCCTGCTCTGCTCGTTAAAAAATAAATAACTTAAATTTTTTTGTTACAAATTATTTCTATCATGCGCTTTGATCAAAGTTTATTGATTAATTTTTGAACGTTGTTTAAATTCATTTATTTCCTATTGTGATCTCATTTATTACGACTATAAAGAATAAGAAGAGCGATTATTGAAAGAGAGGAGAGAAACATGATATACGAGATCGGTCGTTGTCAAAGTTCCGTGTTTGACCGCGGGTGTCAAAGCAATTCATTTAAATTAATAGGACCAGGGTCCGTACATCGCAGCTTATCATTCGATTAGTACCAGTTTTAACCTCCCTTTCCTGATCGGAGAGATGTTCTTATTTGTAAGGTCGTTATCGACCGGTTTCACCGATAAAGCTCGATACTTTTATCGGACTGTGATTATTCCTCTATCTCTCCCAGATATACTTCAGTGCCAGCGTTGCACGCTCTCAAAAACGATTTCATTTGTCACGCGTATGTCAGCAATAGCGTTCGTTTTTCTTTCTTCATTTCTGTTCCATGTTGTATCATATCAATACAAAGAAGAAGAATAACAGACGGAGCGAATACATGTTTTCCATCCGCGTTGCGATCGGAATCCGCGAACGTTATGGAGCTTTCTACAATAAACCATTACCTAAGTTTTAAATCCTAAGTTGTAAGAAATTGACCTATCATAGTCGATTATTCTTTTCACATTCGATTGTGATTGGTCAATTTTTTACAACTTAAGACTTAAGGCATAGGTAATAACTTATTGTAAGAAAATCCACAATAGATTGACCATCAATCGTTTGTGCCTCGTCGAGTCAATCAATTCCCAGTTGCTCCACAATGAATGGAAACGCACTCTTCTCGTAAAACGCGCGTTCAAGAGTCGCTTGCGACTCAAACCAGAGGGCTAGAGATCCTCAAGTGGCGTCTACAATGAGATTTTAAGATGTAAAATTTAAATTTAACCTTTAAGTAAGAAATTGACCAATTACAGCCGAAGAGGACAATCAACTATGATTGGTCAATTTCTTATGGCTTAAAATTGAAGTTTTACGCCTTAAGATTTTATTGTAGACATCGCTTAAGAGATTGGACACCATACATTTGATTCGCCATATTTTTCAGGATCTATTTCAGATTGAATAAGACAGATTATGCATAAGATAGAAAGAGATATCGGCGCATCTCATTTTATCATGCATTTATCTTATTCTATCTTAAGCAGATCCTTGAAAAATATGTGGTGGACCAATCAGGAATTATCTAAACGATGTTCAATCTCTTTCTTGAGGATCTCTACAGCGGGCTTATCGTCCATGCGGCAGCACGACTCGGAGATATCACTTCGAGGAGAGGATCCCTCCGCGTCGTTTCTTTCACGTAACCGTTGGTTCCATATGAGCGCCACGACGATTGGGTCGCGCGTCGCTCCCACCTCAACCACGCGCTCTCGATCGACGTTGGTGAACGCGCGATACCGCGGCCGACAGTCGCGCGTAGTCGGCCGCGTCGCTCGGTATTGTTTCACGTCAAGTCGAGTTGAAGTTGAGTTGAGTCAAATCGAATCGAGTCTCGTCGTTGCCATAGTCTGAATTCGCACGTGGTTTCACGACTATCGATCTATCGTGAGTCTCCGCGCTGCACTCCGCGCGTAAGCGTAGTTGCGAAGTTCTGACGTCGGCAAAGTTGTACGATTCTTTCATGGCCCAGAGAAGGCGTTAAATTTCGGCCTGGCGCCCCATAGTCCTCGCGTTAGCAGCCGAAGTTTATTCTACCGCCGCCTTCATCCCGCGCGAAGCGGAACGCGCGGCACTTTTCGACGTGTTGGAAAAGCGGGACGAGAGGGAGAAAGAGAACGGAACGGGAGGGTGAAAGAAGACCGGCATCGTGCGCGAAAGTTTTCGGCGCGGTGCAAGCGGATAAGGCAGCAGTACCGTGGAATATTTTAACATATATCACGAGAGAGAGAGAGAGAGAGAGAGAGAGAGAGAGAGAGAGAGAGAGAGAAGAGAAATTGGGACGAGGGGTTGTTATAGCGCGCGATTGCTGCCTCCCTCTCGTTCCTCTTTACTTGGCCAGCTCCTCTTCCGCTTCGTCTTCCTCTCGTTCGCGCGGCAACTCCTCCGCTCGTCGCCGAATCTACATATGCCTTTGTGGTGGTGATGTGCCGTTCTGTATGACGTGACCCGTGTGCTAGGAGTCGGTGTATCGTTCGAATCAACGTTCACACACCCCCGGCCGCCAACATGTTTGTCTGTCACACAGACTACGGCAGCTATAAAATGGTAAATTTACCAAAAATGCGGACTACGCAAAAGTCTCTCGATTGTACCCGTATCTTTGGTATAATCAGAACGATCGATAGATCTCCGTTTCTGTCGCGTGCACTCTCTGTGCATCATCCACTTACACATTGTTTTTTTTTCCATCCCGAAGCTCTCGTATTTATCTTGGTTTAAGGAAAGGGACATGGAAAGGAAAAGAGCGCCAACCATAAATCTATAACTTGGAACTGAGAGCACGAATGTGTTCTGTATGTAACTCGCAGTTCGCATAATCCGTCTTCGGTCCGCGGCTCTTCTCGGAGAGGAGAACATTTCCCGATCTATGTAGTCTCTCGGAGAGACGTCCATAATGGATGAGTAATCAAGTTATATTGGGTAACACCGTTTGCTCGATAGCGCGCTTTATCCTTCATTTAAATGATTGGAGTGCAATATCGGATTAGACAATCGAAAACTTCACTGCAAATCCAAGTGTGTAAAAAGTGACTTCGTTATATGTACAATACATTATTTAGTATTCCGTGTAAAAATGATACTATACTACATGTTTAAATGTGAAAATCTATACTTGTATGCAGTGTAGTGTGTTATTTTTACGGAAAACTAATCACTTGGATTACAATGTTTTTATCATGAAACTATTTCCGCAGTATCATCAGCCTTACATTCGACATATTTCTACATTAACGAGCTCCCAAACTCAACGAGCTTCTAATAATTATTTTATAAACACCGTACTTTCTGACCTTCATCACGTTCTAAAAATTGGAGCACTGTATATCTACCGAGTAAATCTAAGTGTTGCCGATATGAGACAACGCGTTTATCATCACTGGCATTTTTAACACATAAAGACTCAGTTTAACGATTTTTTTTATGAAGAATAAAATTATCACAGCGCAACGCGGCGAATGTCGTTAAATCAGATCTTCTACTCGTCCCTGTGAAGATTGATGGTGTTAATTAGATCGAGGAGGACGACCTAATCTTAGATTTTTATTGATGTCTCCGTTGCGCAAGGATAACCGTGTATATGTATACGTATATGTGTAACCATTTAATGACTCCATCATACCAATTTTCTCTCTCTAGAAGCGTGCGCATGTTCCTCTTTCGCGTCTACGTCGCTGAATTAATGACTATTCTCACTACCAGCTACGACGTTGCTTGGTGTCGTAATAGTCGACCGGGTCTATCGTAAGATCGATGAAGAGATGCGCTACAATACAATGCACAAAGATGTCGCAAGAAACGGAGATGCAACATCGTGCTGGTGTCCGCCTGATAGCCGATGGTGGAGTCCGCGTGTCGTCGCAATTACAGCGTAATTTTTCGCATTACACCAGAAATGCTGAAACGCCGACAAAATCGATGAAAAGTTTCGCGGCTCGTAAAACAGCGCGACGAGAAAATTATATGCGCGGCATTTCCGTTTGTCGCTGCATGTTGATTCGCGAGTCATTCGTTCGAACGAATCGTAGGATTTCCCCGTTTTTTTAAGCCTTGTGCGTTTAATAATGAATTCTTAATTATAAATATTTGCTTTTTCTGTTGCAGTATGGCTCGGATGAATTCGGACAGGACTCGCCGAGATACACGTCGCCGAAGGGTGCCCTTTACGCGGATTCCTATTACATCGGTGAGTAAACAAAAAATGAGAGTTATTAGTAAAAATAAGAAAAATCAAGATATACCTCGTTTCTTTATTTCAAAAGTGATACAACTAAAAAATGTGATTTTTTTATTTTTATCATGAATAAGTTAGGTTAAAAATTATTCTGTTAATCATCAAAAGTAGAAGAGACTAACTTAACTGCACATTCCATTCTGCCAAAATATACTTAAGTTATTCTTAAGAATAAGATTTTACAATTTAAATGTAAACTGTGGTATTTGTGTCATGTAATTCTTGATTAATTATTAATAATACTGGATTTGTTACAATTTTATTATAATTTTGATAGGATATAAAAATCGTCACAATTCAGGAACAGTAGTTTTTTAAGGATTGTAAAACAAAAGTGACATAATATGATTATAGTTTTAAGAGCATATTTTTTGCCAATACTAATATTGGCAAAAATTTAATTAATGAATAATTTTCTGTGAAGTTAAAAAGGAGCTTTTTCCCCTCTTCTAAAAAACTTGATTTTTTTTAGTTTTATCACTTTTTTTTAAAGGTACGTCCTATACTTCAGTTTTACTAACTGCGATAAGAATAAAATGGAATTTTATTGAATGAGTCATTGCATTCTTGAGATCTCTCCGGGCAAACAGACATCACGTAGATTAAGAACGAAATTAGAGCGCGTGGTAACAGACTCGTTATCGTTACTAATTTCACGAAAGTAGTTATATAATAGATTACTGACTTATATCTGTTAATAATCGATATCAGCGGACATGGATGTAATTAAACGAGATAGTGCGAACCTCCTGGTGGGTTCGATAGATCGATGGTTATCTGCGAATCAGCAGTCATCGGTATAGGCGCGGGTGTGTGTACGTCGCGTACGTATACATATATATATCATTTGGAAATCGCATAACGATCCGAATGGACGATAAAAGGAATTTTACGAGCGCACTAATATTCAACTGTTTAACGTTCGCTCGTAAAATTTGCCGCTCTGCCTGTCGCGCGTAAAAACAATAACAATCTCGTTATTTGTTCAAGCGGCGCGGCGGGGCATCGAAGTTCGTCGCTGGATTTCGCGGATATATCCGACACACCGCCGTCGAAAAAAAATTCCACGGAAAACTTCGTCGACGAGATATTGCCAATAAAAGCAATTCTCCGCCGCTTGCTTCGCTACCGGCCACTGCGAATGTTACTTTGTTGTTGCAATGAACGTTTATCGAAGCGCTGGCGTCTTAGTGTCGCTATTTTAGTAATTTTTCGTCGCTCGCAAAAGTCGCTTTTCTTTGATGTGCTTACTCTCTTACGCCATATTATCCGTAATACCGATTTGTTGCTTTAAAATTGATTTACGCGCGGGATTGTTCGCATTGTTGAAACAATTATATGTCGTGCGAATTGCTCCATTAGCTGCTGCTGATTTTTATAAAACTGTAATCGTTTTACGGTTTATTTTAGATTATAACGGATCTTTGAAAAATTATCGTCATTAAGACAGGTGCGATGTACACCGTCACGCTCTATGCTTCGGAGATATTCGTCGCAGCTCTTCAGACTCGTGCAGGAAATCGTTGGAAATTGTATACAAAACTTAACCCTCCGGTCGACAATATGAAATTTTCACCCTTCGTCCGTTTGAATCTTTAAACTTCAATATAGATTTTTATATTGTTCTGTATAAAGATCTAAAAAAAAATTATATACTTGGGAAGCTTTTTAACAATAAACTTTTACTATTACATAAGTTGAATTGTATTTTACTTATTTTTTTACAGATTTATCTATCAGAATTTACAATTAAAAGTCGACTGTGCCTTTAAAATCCAATATTGCCGATAAAGGATTAACATTTTAAGTAAAAATAACAAAGGATTTATTTGATTAAATCCTAAATATCGTGTAGAAGAATGCAGAACACAGGTAGTCATAAAAAAGCCACGTTAATGGAACAAATGATCCGTAGAAGAATTTTGCATGCTTAAATATGCAAATATTTTAGATGATCTTTACACGATGATAGATCTATGAAATCGACGAAGTTTTCACCGCAGGGCTCGTTATTATGGATCAGATGAGAAAAGTAGCAGTTTAAGTACGCTTTCGAAATACGTGTCGGCGCTCGTGGCACCCGGTAGCTGACCGGAATGGCTTATAAATGGGAGGCCACGACGAGGGGGCGAAAAAGTTTTATCAGACATCGAACACCGGTAGTTGGTAGGAACGCCCGAGTAGTTTGGCTTAGTTTCCGTTTTCTCGTCGAGGAGCGCCCGGTACGGGAATTATATCAAGCAAAAGTATCAAGAAATACGTTCCCGAAGCTTATTGCTGTTGTTTTCAACTGAAATAATGGTCCGCGCCGGGTACCGCGTCTATCGGCCCTTATACCGGGTGTGTGTGCGGCTCCACCGCAACGACCCGGGAACCGAGTGAGATGTTGGAAAGCGCGAAATTTCGACTTGGCGAAAGTCCAGGGAAGTTGTATCATACCGCGGACTCGTTCTCGAAATAATTACTGCGGAAGGAATGACATCGCCGCTTGATTAGGAAGTTTGGCGCGACGCTAGTTCGCAGTGGAACATCGCCGTTGTGTTAATCGACCAAAATTGTATAAACATTATGAAGTGCAAGGCGTCCCTGACGAGTGGAAAATTCAATTAAACGCCGCGAGGATGCATTTTAACTCGATTTGGACGCCCATTATCCGGGCACGTGCGCGACATTCTCCGCTCGCTGAACGCCACGTGCTCTATTATTTATTATTTCCCGCTCCAATGACGTAGAAAGTGCTCGGGGTAGTCGACGAGATTCTATTCTACATTGCGATACTTCAATTACATCGTATGAGAAAGAATTTTTACGAACACGACGAGTAGTGACGATGATGAAAAGGAAGCACGTTCCGAAGGTATCTAATAATACCTACGTCGCGCAAAATTCTTATTACTCCATAATCTGTATTAATGCGTCTGTATTATCGAGATATTCTGAAATTTCCCTTTTTCATACGCGGTTGCTCTGAATTGATTATTTAGATCTCGAATATTCGAATAATAATCGGATGACACATGATTGATCGAAACCGCGCCTCTCTCTTGTTGCAGATGGTAATACTACAGGAACCGGTCCCGGTGACCCATGGACGGGTAGCGGCGGTGGTGTCCAACCCCCATACAGTGGATATGCACCCTCTCACCTGGCGCAGCCAGCCTATCCCATGCACCTACCCCACGACCCTATGGTAAGTGATTTCTCCTACCTCTTCCATTCTCTCGTTTCTATCCCGACTATCCCCTTGCCGCGGCCGAATCCGAAGAAACGATCAATCACGCGTGACTCGGCTGCTAGTTCCTACGGAGCCGCCGCGCCGTCACGAAAACGACGTCTCTGGAACTTCGTAATAGACACGGGGATATTCCTTCTTCCATACTCTCTGTCGTCGAACACGACAGTGAGTTCGACGACAGAGGAAGTCGACAGATTAAAACCTAAGCGGACGACCTAATCTCGGTGCTACGGAAGATCGATGTGCCTACCGAGCAGCTTTGGTGACGCTCTCTCTCTCCCCCCCCCCCCCCCCCCCCTCTTTTTCTCTCTCTTTCTGTCCCGAAAATCGACGAGGTCCGACGAAACCTCGATTGCGTAATCGACGTATAAAAATTGAATTCGACGACGAAAGATCGATTCTTCGAACCGGAGAACTCGAACGCCGTAATTTCACCACGAGCTCTCGCATATCGCGATCAGTTGCGGTCGCTGAATTCAGCTCGGCCGGGAATTCTGTTAATTCGCGAACTTTTATCCCGTCGACGTCGTTGTACGTCGAAGCGAACGGATGACTGCTCGAAATGCACTCTTCTCGGACGAAATTCCGAGAAATGCGGAATTCTCGACGTTCTCGACGATTCTCGATCGAGAGAACATCTAATACAAATATACGAACTTTTCAGAGATTTATCGTATCGCGTTTAATGGCTTTCCACGGAACGTGATAAATTTCTAAATGCTAAACCTCGCCGACAGTCTCGGCGATTCATGAATTCACGCGAAGCTACCGGGGGTCGTCTCGAGGACGAGCCGCACGTCGCTTCTTGGTCGGCCATTACTCTTCGACCAACCGGCGTCGGCTCTAATCCTCCTCATCAACCTTCGTGATCCAACGGGCCAGCTGGTGGTCTCTTCTCGCTGTCTTATTTCGGACCACCCGGTTGATTGTCGCGTGCGCTCGAGGAAAGACGCGTTCTCTCTTCATCGTCTCGCTATGGTTGAGAGACACTGTTGACAGTGCTCCACGTACCCGGAGTAACGTCAAATGACTCACTGGCGTCTATATATAGTCCCGACCCTCCCGCTACTCCGTGTTTCTAGTCAAGTGCAGCCTTCGTTTGATTTACGCCGTTCATGGTTACCACGAAATCCTCCTCTTCGTGGCACCTCGTACCCGTCTCTCGGCAGCCTCTCTCTCTTTGAGACAACGAGAGTAGGCTTCTGCTACCGGCGTATGACGTCGTGGTCGTGATGCCTTCGATCGGTAATCGCCGATAGCTAATAAATGACGAGATCGCCAACGTTAGTTTTTTTTTTATTAAAACAATATTTTTTTATATACATATGTATATATACAATAGATTGGAATAAACTTCCGGCGCTCTCGGATCATAAAGTCCAATTTTTAACGTAAAACAAACCATTTTATTGTCGTTCGCGTAGCTACAGTGAGGCATTTTGGCCTACGTGATACGACAAGAAACATCGTAAAGCTGTTGTACGATTTAAGGCGAACGCGTCTAAGAAGGATGGAGTCAAGCGTCATGAAGTAAGATTTCTTTCGGTTACCAAAGATTAAACATTTACGATCTTCCAGTTTAATGAACCCGTCTTCTGAGAACGCCGTCCGCGGATCCATCGAAAAAGAGATCTCGCTGGATGTCTCTAGGTTTTTCTAGTAGTATATCCGTCAACATCCGCCGAAATCTCTCGGTCTCGCCGCGATATCCATCGCTATGTTTCTTCATAAAAGCGTTGATTAAAGGCGACGTTTTACGTGCGGCACGTACGTCTCTGTAGGCGTCTCCCGGGTACTCTAATTTGTTGATAAATACACTATGCTCCATAGACCGTCGGCGGTGGCTTAAAATTAGACTTTTACGAGCGATTTCAGTAGGTGCGAGAGAGCGCTATCCCACGCTCGGCGTATCCAATATCAAAGCTGGTCGAGGTGATCTATTATAACCAGAAAGACGCGCTTGAAGCAATCGTACAAATCGCGAGAGCCACGCGACTCCTGGAAATCACTTGGAATTCTTGTAATGGAGACCTTTACCGTTTGTAACTACACAGGATAAATCAATCCAACGTTTCGCGCACGCACGAACGCACTCAAAGAAGACATCCCTTCTGAAATCCTGCAGAATCCCTGACACCCTGAAGTCCTCCTACGACGAAATCCACGAAGATAAAGATTGAGATGCGTAGACTAACGTCAAATAGAGCAAATGACTTGATTATCTTCCTGTTTCACAAATCAGACGACGTTTCTGCGAACCTATAGAATTCCTTCTACAACAGAGAACCTCCGAGGACAAATTCTGAGATTCCGATATACTGGACGCAAGTTCGATAATTAACGTTGAAGATCGCGTATTCCCACGACTTCGCCTCCGAGATGGTTACCACAAGAACCGAGCGTCAAACCATTTGCGCTTGGCGGTTTCAGGCATACTCAGCGATGTCGCCGAATGGTGAATCTGCAGCGCCGATCCTGGGCTCGGCGGTGACCAGTGCGGCTTCCCTGCCGCCAATGTCGACATTCCGGGGTAATGCCGCGGTCGCGGCGAACAGCGGCACAGGGGCGCCGTCGCCGGCATCGTTGCAATATAGCCATAGTCCTGGTGCACCGACGACCGCGCCTTCCGCGCCCAACACTGCGCCCACGACGAACCAGCAATCCACCACGGACGACACCCTCGGCAAGACCCTCGCATCCGTCGTGAGCACTCGAGTATGTGTCCGTCGTCAAGTCATTTTTTTTTTATGCTAATAAAGTAAAAGATAATTAATAGAGATAAAACGTTATAAGATAATGGATATTATCTATTAACCGAGACAATACTTGAACGATCTAAGTAATCTATGTAACATTTGTCGCAACATTCAGACACATCTTACTTTACGACGCGACGTCGTCACTTCGCGAATGATTCAGACGATCGTACTTCGTAATAATATGTTACGATTGCGTCGTTATCACATTTTTCACAGATTTATCCCACGGACCAATCAGTATCCAGTTATAGCAGTAATCCATCTACGCCCGTCAGTTCGCCACCACCTTTAACCGGTTCGGCACCAGGTTGGGCACCTGGAGCCGCGCCAGTATCTCCGCATTTTACGGCGGATCCCAATCGTGGTATTCACATGGTATGTATCTCGTATTTCTATGATTACTAATTATGATTGACCCGGCACAAGCTGCAGGACCTTTTCAACGTTGTCCATTTTCAAATTACTTTAGGAATTTATTATTTTATGATATATGGAAATCTCTGTAATAGATCAAACATCGTTGAAAGGTTTCTTAAACGCGTGTATAATTTTGGCCGCTTCAGAAACATGCACGGGACAATTTTTCACTTTTACAAGCGCTGGAAGAGTTATGTTTTTCCAATGATATTTCGCTATATCTACACTATATATCGACGATATTATCAATTATCACTCGCGCAATTTTTGTATTTTTTGGGAGGGGGGAGGATTGTTACGAGCAACGGAGGAGCGGTATACAAGCGGAAATATAAAGAAAGGATTTGCTGTTGTTTGTGTCATAAAGGTTTATTTTTCATTAAAAGAGGTTACAGTCGCTATTCGCACATAATCACGCAGCAATCACTGAAGTTGCACAAAGTGCATGATCGCGTTTGCACCGAGAAATCACCGTTTGTGTGCTTCCTTTATGAGCGACTATTTTTATTTATATCCTCCCTTCGCCCCTATTTGCGTACAAATTAAGTTTATCGTTCCTCCCGTTCATTTGGCGACACACTTTTATTCATTCCGCCCTGTTTGTTGTGAACGTTGTGTTGACTTGGTTGTTTCTCTTTTTTTTTTTGGTTTTGTTGTTGCGTTGGTGTTGTGTGTGAAGCCGGCGCCTGAACAGCAGAGGCTAGACGATGCCATCGGCTTCCTTCGCGACCACGCCGAGGTGAGGACCGCCGAATTTCAGTTTTTTTACCAACCTTCTCATTTTCTCCTTTTTTTTCCACATTCTTTACGCATGTTTACACCACGACAAATGCCACGAAATGTCCATTGCACTTGCTAATTACGCTTTCAATTAATTTTGATTATATATTGTGATAAGATTTTCACATTGTACACAATGTATAATCATAGCTTGTACTTTTCCATTAACAAAACTTTCGATAATCAGTCGGCATTAAATCCTTTAATTAATCTAATCGGTCAGACTCTTTTTTACATAATATACTTTTGCAATTCTACTTTCCTTCCAAGATGCTTTTTCGATTAGCCGAACTATCTATCGTGAAGCGAAATGGAAAAATTCAATATTGAATTTCTCTCTTTGAAACTTTTCTGGAACAAACTATAAGAATCTAAAGAAAATAAAAAACGTCAGCGATACGTCTTCCTATAGAAGTCCTCGAATAATAATGAAGCAGTAGACAATTTTGAGCTATCGGCGCGTAATCGAGTCGCATTTTTGGTATTCTGTTGGTACAGGGGGCACGAATGGAGGAGCGGTTAGACGATGCCATAAACGTATTGAGGAATCACGCCGAAAGTCAAGTAGCCCTTCATCTTGGACCAGTTGGTCCACACGGCGGGATATACTCGCATACCTCACCACCGCAGTTAGAACATTTGGTAAGGAACTTTGTCAAGCAGCAAATAAAAAGTACCAGGGCAATTACGGATTGCTGGATTGCTCCTGTCCTTTTATTTATTTCGCGATATAATATTATAACTGTTTCAGACGAGTCCACATCCTGCGGTAACGGTGACGCAACCTCAGGGTTCCTATCCCGGTCTTACACCCACGCCCGACACAGATGGTTCGATCAAGATCGAAAGGTTACCTGTGACGAATGCCAGTAAGTTGAACCCGAAGTGATATACGGGATGTACCGCAATATAATTTGCAACATAGGAGAAACCAGATCACAATTACGGCGGCAATCCCTATAACAAAGTCTTGATAGTAGTCTTTCTTCGGTTTATTCTTGCGTTAAACACATTCGATGATTTTTTCATAAGAAAAATAAGAATCGTGATTACGCATTACTTTTATCAAGCTGTTCTATTCTTGCATCGTCGCATCATTGAGCAGTCACTTTTCCCATGAATTCCCGCGAAGGAGAGGGAAAAGGGAAGGAGCTCCCAGGTGTTCCACACAACGGACTCGCGGCCGAATAAGGAAATATTAGATAAATCACGCGAAGTCTTTGCTGTCCGGTGGTCGTGCCTGCATTATTCCCGTGAGTACATTCGGTTATCTCGCTCTTCGTTTCTCTTTCCGCCTCGTTGCGTCCGTCCCTTTCGGCCTCCCGCACTCTTGGAGTCATTATGCCGATGGAGAACATTTAGTATCCTTTTACTACGGATTAGGAGATCCTACCTATGTTAGTTTGTCGAAGGAATGCAGAACACTCTTGCGAGTTTAGAAACTATTTACGCGCTTTGTACTGTAGAAATATGTAGATGGAAATTCACGAAACCTCTGCGATAACTTCCGTGAAAAATAGTGTATTGAGAACTAAAGAGCTCAAATCCTTTAAGGAAATAAATACATTCAATTGCGCAGATAGCTGCACCATAAATATTTCATTTGTAGTTGCAAGTGCGTCACCGAGCACGATATAAAAGTGATCGCACTTTCGCACACAACCGTCTGATTTATCCACTGTGATTGTCCGCGAAGACTTTTAAAGAGATACATTCGCGGCATAATACTATTCGTAATACTCTCGCGAATCATTAGGCGAAAGAGAGAGAAAACATTTAAGGTCTGCTGAATCAGAGTTGAGCGAAATCCAATAAAGCGCGCTTCCTGCTCCTAATTGGACGCTTTTCACGGTTTCGTGACTAAGCCTCCTTGCCTAAAGCTCCGGGATAATCGAAGATCGTGATCGCCGTCTTCGGCGAAGGTCAGTCGCGTTTATTCTTTCTCCATTTCCGGGTAAGTCCGTGCCATTTTTCCGCTGTTGCATCAGATAACCTGGCGACAATGCTCGAATGAGGCTGCTGTCATAGTCTGCTTTTGAAACTCCTTAAAGAGATACGTTTTGATAGTTACCTTTAGAATTATGAAGAAAAGAAAAACATACACTGACATAAATTTTACCTGATTTCTTCTGTCTTGCAAATTGTATAATGTAACAATGCAATTGTCGTGGAAATTTTACGCAACAGTATTAATAATAAGCAGAATACATCCCCTTAGAAAAGAGGAAAGATCCGCCCGACAGTAGCGGCGGCGAAACAAAACCATCAAGCAGTGAACTCGCAGCCGGTGTAATCGGAGCTGCTACAGTTAACTCGACGTCGCAAGGAAAAGGAACGAAGAGATCGCGTAGATAGTAAGTATCTGAAGATTTTTCGAGATAAATTTTTAAATAAATCCCTCGATGGATTAGACAATGTCGAGCGACAAAAAAGATAAAAGCTATGATAAAAATAAGGAAAGTTGCAATCGATATACGCGTATTAACGTCATTTCGCTCCAAATCTCATGGATATTGAAAAAAAATAAACAAAATATTCGCTGCATTAATTTGAGAGTTTACTTGAAAATTAAACAAATTAATAATTAATTGGAGATGAGCTCTCCGATCTTTGAAAATTTATTTTTAAACTAACTTGCTGTGTCTTTGAACAACCGTTGTTCGAGCGCCGATGAAGACTGCGACGATCCTGGCACCAAAGCGGTGCGCGAGAAAGAACGTCGCCAGGCCAACAACGTGCGTGAAAGGTTAGTGAACACACGCAGTACGCACTTCGTTGCATCTTGATACAAACAATTCCTTCCGTCTTGTTCTCCGCTCCCACAATCCCGATAATATATATACGTCGCTTACGATGCGGATGATATGCGTATGTATATTCCCATCGCCAAGTGTACGTAAAAAAAAATCTCTGTACATTTTCCCGGAGAAAGTTCCTGGCCACCTAGCCTATGCACCGTATGCATGCCTAAAACGAGGTGCTATTTGTGACGAGCAATAAATCGTGAAACGATTAATTCATGAACGATCAGAGGAAAACGCGCGGCATGTTTACGACTTTGTTATAACATGAGTAATCCTTTACATTCGTTGCACTGTATAAGGCCCGTATTCAGGCGTGATAATTAAAATGTTTCTGGTTAAGAGGACAGAAAGAGATGAGACAAGATGGAATGTTAACAGCTCTCTCGTGCGTACCTGCAAATCAGTCTCATTTTAATTCAGCTGCGATTCGGTCCCTAGGCATGCCACTTTGTTTAGAACATTCCGCACTTATTCTGCATCACTGAACGTTGCATCAAATTACTCAGTTGTATAAACTTTTCTCTTTTTATCCTTACAAGCGCATTTTTTACTACCTTTGTACAAATGAAAGAACATGTCGTATTATTTGTAAACTAATAAATCTCACTGTGTTGGCCATATACGTGTCACATAAATTTTTATGAGGGATTGTCATATTATTCTCAAAATAAAAGTCGATCGATATCGATCTTTCAATTATACATAATCAAGTATTTCGATGTTAATTATCTTTTTTTTTTAAATCCACAGTGTTTCATTTTCTTATTTTATTTTGTGATTATTTTTAAATCCTTCCAAATTATGTTGTTCTGAAAAAGAAATTATAAACAATTATATAGATGTCATCTGCATTCTCTAATTTTCTAGGTCAGCATCAAAATAGAAGATCTACATTTTTCGATTCGAAAGATCACTGTCCCTTGACGTGATTATTCGCCATCGATTGTTTGTTCTGTGCAAAGAATACGGGCCTTTAAATTCGTAACCTACTTATTATCCACTCAAATGATGATTTCAAAATTATGAAACCATCTGCGTGTGTTCATTATTATATTGCTTGTCTATTGCAATAAGAAATGTACGAAATTCGCTCGAACAACAATTAGGTGATTAGACTTCAGCAAGTCAAAAGCCATTTTCTTGCAACTTGCGACTATATCGCGCGCGTGTCGCTTACGTTAGTAATTCGATTGCCGTTAGGTAATTTAAGCGATATAGGCTAGAGTAAGTTGTGACGTAAGCCAGATGATTAATCGCGTATTGTTATTGCGCAACTGTTGTTCGAGCGCTGAGGACGAGGATGATGATCCCGACATGAAGGCACAAAGGGAGAAAGAGAGGCGGCAAGCAAATAATGCTAGGGAAAGGTAAGATCAATGATATACGCAGCGGACATAAAAAAATATCAAATTTAATCTACAGTGATATGACAATTCCGGTCAGTAATAACGGCGGCCCGTATTCTATGTATATGTGACATAATAATGTAAGAGAATATTAAAAGTATTTCTCGGTTATATATGATGAAAATAAATGACATATTTCCCCATATACAATATTTTACAAAATCGGCATGTTCTTATATATATATTTATGCATGAAAAATTTACTTCTATCACATGCTTACACAATTGCATTTGTATTAATAAAGAATTGCAAGATATGCTCAAAAGTTTCAACATGTTTCGTGTTTCAGCTAACAATTCATATTTTTCATTTATAAAAAATATGAAATTAATTTGATATACTCTTTTATTTTCGGATTCAATACACAGTCGTGAATTGCCGACAAATATTTATAAACGGAAATTATAAATAAATTTCTCAAATATAAGCAAATATCATGTGTACCTATATCGGTATAAAAAAGTATATTAATTACATGCGTTATATATCAATAAATATTTAGATATAATGACTAACAATAAGAGAATAGAAATAATATTATTCTCGCAGAAATTAAGCATCAGATTAAATACAAGTCTTTGTCTTAAGACATTTAAAGAACTTGTCGGCAAAATGCCAAGCTTTTGGCTTCTGTTATGAAAACTCGAGATTTAAGCTTGAAGAAATAAAAAAATTTGAAAAAAAATAAATTCATTTTTTTAGTTTTAATGAAAATATGTAATATGTAATAAATTAAAAAATTCTAATGCATATAAAAACTATATTTTATTCTTTTTATGATATTACGAAGTTTCCAAATGGAGAACTGAAACTTTTGAGCGATTATAGTATTGTACAATTATATTTCTCATAATTTGCTCTGCTGTATTAATTTTTTCTATTGTAAACATATACAAGAAGAATATTGCTTAATGTGATGAGTGTGTAAGTAGATGTTAAAAAATGTAATATTATAAAATTATTATATATAGTATATAATCAAGAACTCCTTTCTATTTACTATTGAAACTTAAAGAAGATACTCTCGCATTTTTTAATAAGTTAATTAACATAATTTCATTTTTCATCATAGGATACGTATCAGGGATATCAATGAGGCTCTAAAGGAACTTGGCAGAATGTGTATGACACACCTAAAGACGGACAAACCTCAAACGAAACTCGGTATTCTCAACATGGCTGTTGAAGTTATAATGACACTCGAACAACAAGTTAGAGGTGCATATACCAACATGCATTTTTATGATTAATTGTATTATATCAATCTGTGTAAATATTCGTGTGTTTAACCTATTCTTTTTTTTTTATTCAGAGCGGAATCTTAATCCGAAGGCTGCGTGTTTAAAAAGAAGAGAAGAGGAGAAAGCCGAGGATGGTCCGAAGTTACCAGGCCATCTTGCAGCGCACATAGCACATCCGCATTCTCATCCACACGCGCACTCCCAACCGCCCTTTCCCGCATTACCTGTAAGATTCTGTCAAAGTTAAATTCATACAAGTGGGATTATTTTGGGATGCATAAATAAAATATACATGTTTGTTTTAGGGTCCACAACCTTCCCTTCAGCACAATCCACCACAGCCGCAGTAGCAGCGGCTCAGTGGCGGTATCATTCTGTGTTAAGGGGTAGATACATCTTAAAATCAATAAAAAACAAGTTTATGAACATGACTTACATACCTATATAGGATTTTTCTCTGCTCTTATAAGTTGTGGGAATGTGCAAAAAATTGTGGATATTATGTGGTGCGTTACATTAGTAGAAGACAGAAAAGAAGAAGAGATAAGAAACACTCAATCGTAGTTTTAAAATATTTTGTTCGTTATTTAATATTTATATATTAATTAATATTTGTATAATTTTTTAATAATTTGAATTTGGCCTGGAAAACATCTATCTATTGATTTAAGGATATGTATGTATGTTTTGATGCTGTAGAAAAAACGACACAGGAATACCCATAATTTTTTTCGCAGTACTTCAATATGCAATTAATAAGGGAAGAAGTTTCCGTATGCGCTCACCCAAGAGTAGGGCAAGTAGTTTTAAGAGGCATCTACCCCCTCAAGGCGGCTTCAAATTATTTTTATAAATAGCGAAAAGAAAAAAACAAAGGAATATGGTTCCTCTTTCGAGATATATAATGTGTAGTACGATCGAAGTTTTATTAACGATCGAACTTCGCTGCTGACTCATGTTAAATTGCCCACTTCTGTGTATACACTACCGACACGGTTTATGTTATAACGCGCAATAGCTAGGAAGAGAACTCGAGTTGGCGAAAAAACGAAGTCATTGACTAGAGATGAAAATAAAGGCAGTATATTTCCGAATTAGATAATACTTAAATATACTTTTTGATTATACATATCAACGGAATTAGGCAAATCGTTGATTAAGAACTCCACATTCTTAAAAACTTATCCTTTTTCAACTCTTTGAATTTAACTTTTTGCCAATTTGGCACATGGATTATGCCGCCTTTATATTGATCATTAGACGTTGGCAATATTGTACATAGAAACTATTATTTACGAGCGTTCAGAATGTGAATTGAAGATGCTAGCGGTTCGTTCACGCTCGCGAGAACATCATTTGTAACTGGTTCGCGGTGTGATAAGAAAAGCACATTCCGATGCTTGCAGTTTCTTTTTTGACATACAGCTTGATCAAGGAAATAAAGAAAATGAAAAATATCTTCGAATATATCATTTCTTATAAAATTTGCTTTTGTGTAAAACTGAAGAAAGATAAAGCGTATATGATACGCAATGTATATCATTTATACATGTGTATAAAAAGAAGCTGCAAGGAACGTATAAATAATTGAACATTTCTTATAATACCGCATCGTTAAAAATACTCGCATTTTTAACATCAGTACCACTATCTCAGAGAAAATAGGAAAACATGGCCGTGAAGATACTTTACTTAACGAAGTTATCAGCATGTATTTATTTTACTATTCTTCAAGTGTTTTTTTACGGCTAGAATTTGATTGTGTATGCCATTTAAGTGCCATTTTTATAGAACTCTCTTGGTTTTAATGATATTATTAATGCATTCAGTTATAGTTTATATTAAGCATAATTTGTATGCAAATCACTAGAGTCCGACCGAAACTTCTGCCGAAACTGAACCGAAACACTCGGCGAAACACATGTCAATTTTAATCGAAACCGAAACCAAAATTAAAAAATAGGATTCTTATAAAGGCCATATATATAGACATGTTTATATATCATATACTTTTTTTTCATAAATATAATTTATTGAAACAATAATTAAATTTCGGCCAAAATTGAGAACCGAAATTTCAATTGTGTGTCAATTTTGGTCAAAGAATATAAATACTTCTTAACATCATAATTTAATTATTGAAACAATAATCACACATTACTGTAGTAATAAATTAATATTTATGAAGAAAAGCTATATGGTTTCAGTCGAAACTGACACGTAATGAGTGTTTGTTTTCAGTTTTGGTAAAAGTTTCGATTGGACTCTACAAATCACATCTCATTTTTATTACATGCCATTTTAATAATTTCGAATTTTGTATAAAATATTTTTATAATAATCGTAGGAAAATAGCGTGAACGATCCGTGCCCAAAACCGAAAGCGCATATGTAAGAAATAACATTATAAGAGATAACATTTGCATTACTTTCAACGAATGATTTGTTAATCATTTTATTACACTGATCGTTCGAACGATTTTTAATTTAAGAATAATGAAGGATTTTTAATTTAAGACATTTTAGGACATTCTTGAATTATACATTAATAATTTTTATGTATTATGTCTTTTATTGTCCGTGTCTCAACACGGATATAAATTGCAACTCCGAAATGGATTGTCCCAAATATTATTGTAGCATTGAGAAAAGCATTGGGCGGTAAAAATATGGAGTAAAAAGAAAGAATTAAGAGATCTTTCCACAATTATTGATCCAGATTAGAACGCTTTACGTTTTCGCAACAATTTGCTACGAGACATACATATATATTATCAGCAAGAATTGAAAAGCATTTATATGTGCCAAGATGTGAGCATTGCGAAAAATACTACATACGCTTCATGCGAGATATATCCTTGTTATGACAATGTTTACGGACGCACTTTACAAATGCGTTTTGCAGTGCTTTTCTTTCATGATGCTGCATTGCTGGAGAAAATACGATCTTTCGATGGCATCGACTGGTTTTGGTACATCGTCGAATCACTCTGGACCTTCTCAAATCTTCAGGGGGCTCCTCTTCCTGCGCTACCTTTGCCCACCGATCATTCGGGCAAAACTTTCTGTACTTATATATACGCGGTGAAGTGGAATATAGATTGAGCGAACGAAAGCTTTCATAAGGCGTGATATAGAAGATCGTTATGAACACGATTTAGCTCGCAAGTACGAGAAGAGCCAAACCAATCAATCTGTCATAATCATGATTAATTATTATTAATTATTATTATTATTATCGATTACTTACCGTTCATAAGATCTTTCGTGAAAAGTAAAGAACGGGACATTTTTGTTTTTGAACAAAAATATAGCTCAAACGTATCTGTACCCAGTTGCCATGTATTTTAATTTATTTAGATTCTTAAATAAATTTTATTGAAAAAAAGAAACCAACGCAAACACATCGAGTGCCCGTGTTTATTTCGCCTCTTTTCTGTTCTACTTTCTTTTTCCTTTCATCTACTATAAGTATATCTTCTCTTGAATAACATATATCTATAGCTATATTTTTCTTCAAAGGCAGTATTTCAAAAAAATTACGGAAGATCGTATACATGTTACATATTCTTGCTCAGATTCTATGACAGGCTTTTCCTTTACCACCTTTAAAATCTAAACTCATATCAAAATATGTCAAACATATCATATGTATATTTATTGCAGGAATCTGCAACATATTTTCTCTCTTTCGCTCAATTTTTAACTTAACTCAGTTTGCATATTTTTGTAACGATATTTTTCTGAAAATTATATAATTTTCTCATTACACAAAATTATACAATATTTATAGTATTATATTTAAATTATAAAGCTATTTTGTAAGTGAAATGGTATAAATTAGAAGTTTTTTGACAAATTGTTTATTAAATTTTCTTCTTTCATCTGTAATTAGCTACAAAATGTTCAAATTATTTGAACTGGATATCTGTTTCAGTTGTATGATGTATGATAGATGACAAATATAATTTTAAAGACACAGTACGCATGATATAAATGTAAAATAAAGATCTCTCTATGATTGCGAATCAGAATGCGATCGTACAGTACTAAGTACTGTTAATACTCTGTAATATTTGATACGATACTAACATTATAAATATTTTAAAATATTTTATTTTCCAAACCAGTTAATGATACGAGAAGAATTGAAAAGATCATCCCAACGCTGATTTTTATAAACTGTAAACTTACGTATTTTCACTAGATCGTAGACCTATAAAATCACTTTCGTTCTCGATCAGAATCTGTAGACTATAGGTAAGCTGATCGGCAAGAACTCGCACAACCTCGCTCCACATTTAATTAATAATCATTAATCATGCTCCGTTGCTTCGGCGACGCTTTATAAAATTATATTTAACATAAAAAAGGAGAAGAAGGTGAAAAAGAGAAAGAGAGAACGTAACGATAAATGTACATTGCGATAAATTGCAGAAAGAGCCGCTCACAGATACTAATAAAATACACGATCACACATCTGTATTCGCGAAGGTAATCATGTAAAATAATAACGACAATAAATAGCTCGTAAGCCAGTCTAAGCTAGACACGTGTCGATAGTCGTAGATAGTCAAAATGAAGCTGAAGAGCGAAGAGGTCTACATAGGGGGTCGAAGTCGAAATTGTCGGCCATAGTGGCCCCTTCACACAGACCTTTGTACATGAAACGAAATAATTATGCTCTTATAATAATGATGTTATATTTTCAAGTACGTGCATATCAAGAATACGGGGCACCGCACTTTGATATGAGTTGGTTGTAAACTGATTTCAGTTTATTGATTACTGTTAAGCGTAAATATCATTGAGAACATAAGGAACTATTTGTTGCGGTCTAATTGTGTGTAAGGGTTCAATTTTATTGGTACAACTGCGAATCGATAATTATCATATCATATAAGGGTGTAACTATATTAGATATATAATATTGTATAATATGTAATAAAAAAAGATTAATGCGTAAGTGGGTTGTAGGCAGTTTGTGTGAATGGGCCTAGAGGATGTTGAAACCGATCTCTTCGACCCTACATGCGATTAAGAAGAATGATGCGATTATTAATATTAATGAAGTACGAGATGAATATAAATATCTAAACTGAATAAAAAAGAGAGAGAAAGAAATAAACGAAAGAGTGCAAGAGAGGGAGAGAAAGAATATGAGAGAGTGAACAAGTGTATCGATTGAGAAAGAAAAAAAATATGTAATTATATCATTAGTAATATTATTATCACTAATATAATAAATGTGCCATTTTTTCCATAATCACAGTGTCGCTTGACGTGGATCCTGAAGCGATCCGTCAAACGTTTCTTTCTTTTTCTCTAATATAATTTTAATATACGCACTATTTTTGCCATTATTTGCTTTTTTCTTTCTCATTCGTTATTTTATTTGTATTATATTATACTCTCAGTATTTTAGATAATATTTACATTACGTTTTACGTTTTGCTCCTATGATACGCATACTGATTTAAGTTTCAATTGTATTTTATTATATACAGAATAACGATTAGCTATATGTATGCACAGAGTATGTAGATACAT